ATTCACAAACTCTAACATCCTCAAAAGACCAACCAAATTTAACTATCGCAAATAATGCAGCGTACCTCTTTTTTTCTTTTTATCACTAGCCTGGTTTTAAAAAGTGAGTTAAATTGAAAGCATAATAAAAACGTGAAGAAGAAATTCGTGCGTTGTTTCGTGCCATATTTAAAATTCCCAAAAATCGAATTTATTCACTGTATTCATGAAATTGTAACAAATCCGATTAAACAGTATTTTTGAACAGAAGTGGATAGAGCGTATAATAAAAAAATGAATTTACTGTCACGGAGTTTTTGTGAAGCGCAAAAATGTTTAATCCAGATGAAATCTAACAGGATATTGTTCTTCGACCATTTAATAAAATCTGGTTTAATAAAATGTTCAATAAAATATTGATTCTGGGATAATGAATATTTAAAACAAAGTCATACAAAATTGTTTGTTCCTGTATAACTGACATATCGTTTAAAAAAAATTTTACGTACAAATAAACGTGATTCTAACTGGTTTTATAAATATTATATTAAATTAATTTTATTAAATTTATTTTTGATGTGAAATTTATTTATCTTTTGTGAAAATGATAAATTGGTTTAATTTTAAATTATTGTGTCATAAATACTAGTTTTCGATACGTTTACAGTGGTAGGTATGGGTTTAGGATATTTTTATGTCGTTTAAGCAAGTTAGAATTTATATTTCGAAATCGGGTGTAGGTTAATACAAGAATATGTTTTTATTCGTTGCATGCTTTGTCAGTAAATTACTCATTTCGAGTTAAGAAGGTTTAGGAAACACTTATGTGATCTTTTTCAGTACATCTTAAGCTTTAAATTGATGTAGCATAAGTGCCTTTTTGCAACACTTTTATGTCATGAAATTGTGTTAGAAGTTATATCTTTCGAAATCGAATCAAAGTTAATGTAGAAAGTCTACCCTGATTCGTTGCGTGCTTTGTTAGTAAATTATTCATTTCGAGTTAAGAAGGTTTAGGAAACACTTATGTGGTCTTTTTCAGTACATCTTAAGCTTTAAATTGATATACCATAAGTGTCATTTTGTAATACTTTTATGTCATGATTTTGTGTTACAATTTATATCTTTCGAGATCGATCATAGATTAATATAGAAATAATACTCTGATTCATTACACGCTTTTGTAGCGAGTCAGCCATTTTATATTGAGCAAATTCACGAAACACGTATGCAGTCTATTTCAGTACATCCTTAGGTTTAAATTGATATATCACAAGTGTCATTTTGCAACACTTTTATGTCATGATTTTGCGTTACGATTTATATCTCTTCAAATAAAAATTATGCTCTGCTTCATTGCGAGTTCCAAAGTGAATCAGCCATTTTGTAACAAGAACATTGACAAAACTCTCACGTAACCCTTCGCATCAAACCTCAAACTACAAACAAATATATCATAACCACTATTTACGAATATTTTTACATTATCATAAATCAGTAACACTTTTACATTACCACAAAAGTCACCATACACAAAATTGATCATCCACACCCGTACAACTCAACACAAATTTCACTTCATATTTCTACAAATTCCTCAATTACCTCCTCTATCCCCAAACGCCCATAAACTTCCGCAAAACGCAGATCCACCCGCATTTCTCGCAAACGTTCCACTTTGAAACATCTGACGTTTTTTGCACTTATCAGGGAATTAACGATACATCGCAAGGTATACCGAAACGGAGCAAAAAGTAGATTTCCAGTTTTAATGGGAACCGGATGGGTCCGCCTCGAAAGCCGGTCTCCATCCGGAAATGGTTTTAACGAACAGGGTGGTAGAGGGCGTACATATCAGAGCGCAAAGAATCACGCGCAAAAACGATTCATACGCGGACAAAACTGTTCCCAAAAGGACGTCATCTCTAAATCGCGAAAAGGACCCAGGTGGATAGAGTTTCTGTTGAAACAGGAAAGTGTTATGGCGTTTTGTCGCAAACTCCCCGTACAACAATGATATTCTAAAGCTCGGTAACAAAATCAATTTTCTTCGTCCTCCTTTTCTGTTCTTAAAAAAACTTTCTCAAGTAATTTCTTAGTAACGATGGAAAAAATTAGTTAATCGATTTGAAAGAGTAAATTTTTCAATTTCGTTTCGTTGTTTGTTTCGAGGTATGGCGTTTGGGTAAGATGGACGTCCTGTCCATTTATTTAGCGTGACAGTTGGGGAGAGTGAAGTCTATTTACTCGGTAATGAGCGTCTGGAATGACTTTTTTCCTTTTCTGCTAATTAGGTTGCTGCCTAGCTCCGCCATGCTCCAGACCGAGCGTCTCAAGATCTGCTTATTGGGTTTCTCAAATCCTGTACAAACAGCAATGGTACTACTACTGTATCAAAGAACTAATTAGTGTGCTTTCCTCTTTTATCAACGACGATACATGTGGCCACTACATTAGGAAGTAAATTCGTTAACTGTAATTTTGTGCTGAAAATTGTATCTGAATTTTCGTAATCTTTTTAAGGTTCTAAGATTCTTTAAAGTTTTTCAAGTTTTGAGGATTCAATGTTTGAGGATTTATAGGTTAGTTTTTACTGTTTGATGAATATTTTGTTACAAATTTTCACTGTTAGAAGATTTTGGATTTTTCAAAACACAATTTATAACGTAACGATTAATGGTTATTTTACATTCAAAACAGATATAAGCCAAACGTATACAATTTTGCTGAAATTTAAATAAACAAAAGATATGAATTTAACAACATACCTGTACTAACACGTATGTCCTAAAAATTGATCGAACGATGCAATCGATAACCGAAGAAAATATTTCGTCACCATTTTCACCGTGCAGGGTAAGCAACACGTAGATGTTTTTCTCGATGACGTTGATCGCCTTGAAATATCGAACATACCTGCCAGGCATATCGAGTATGTAACGATGACGTATGTGTGTCGGTACACGGCTCGATTTCGCCGATGCACCGTTGGATTCTGTCATTTTCGAAAAGTTTCGTCACGAGTAGCAGAGATTTTCCGACGCCTCGAGCTACATGGCAGAAGCCGTGACACGTTGTATGCGTTAAACGAGGGGGAAGAAAATTTTTAGCGTATCGATGGACGTCGAAACGGAACCAACTTCTTTGTCGCAGAGACGTATGTACCTGGAGCATGATCCAGTTCCGTATCGAAACGTTTCAATATTTCACCGAATCGGTAATTCGATTTGTTCGGTCCCCTTTCGACGCCGTGTCCAGTATGATTGACGTTCCATTGTTCGATTTTTGAGGAATTCGACGAAGCAAAATGGCCGGTGCTTCGGCTGCCAGAAAGTCGGTGATTTATTTACCTCACGGCTTTAATTGAGAAGAATTTGATTGTTGCAACGGTATCGATGATTAATTCGGGAGAATAGAGTATCGAGATGTGGGGGATGCTGATTTAATGTCGTTTTTACGTACTTTGGTTTGGTCGCAGTTATTTTTAAATGTAGGTTTTCTAGGTGTAGATATATATTTTATATTTAAAATTCATAGATTTTAAAATTTTCGGATTTGGGAATTTCTACATTTTGAAGTCTTTAAGATTCCAAATTTCAAATTTCACGTTTCCTCAATTGCAAAATATTAAATACTGAAATTTTCAAATTCTAAATTTCCGAAATTCTCAAATTCCCAAATCTCCAAATCTTCAAATCCCTAAATTTCCATTTCCCTAAATTTTGAAATTCCCAACTTCCTAAATTCTCAGGTTTCCTATTTTTCAAATTCTCAAATTCACAAATTTCTAAATTTTCAAGTTCCCAAATTTCTTAAATTTCCTAAATTTCCCAAATTTCCCAACTTTTTTGAATTTCGTCAATTTTCTAAATTTCTTCTATTTCCTAAATTTCCCAAATTTCCACAATTGTATAAATTTCCTAAATTTCCCAAATTTCCTCAATTTTCCAAATTTCATAAATTTCTTAAATTTTCTCTATTTCCTAAATTTCATCTATTTCATACATTTCCCAAATTTCCTCAATTTTTCAAATTTCTTAAATTTCTTAAATTTTCTCTATTTCATAAATTTCATCTATTTCATACATTTCCCAAATTTCCTCAATTTTGTAAATTTCCCAAATTTCATAAATTTCATAAATTTCACAAATTTTCAAGTTCTCAAATTCCTAAATTTCACTTTCTCAAACTCCAAATATTTTTAAAGCTTAATAATTTGAGAACATGTAATTTTGAGACAGATGTATAGAAACCTAGAATTTAAGAAATTTCAAAACTTTGATAAGTTCTGATTGTAACAATTGTGAGACTTGAAAATTTCCTGAAACTTAAAAATTTAAGAATGTACAAATTTAAGAGCTTGAAAAAATTGAAAAACGGAATTTACGATTTGGTATTTGGACTTGAGATTTGCAAACGTTATAAATTTAGGAATTTGGAAATTTGAAAATTTAGTTATTTAGAAATTTGCCAATTCATGCATTTGATAATTACCAAATACACAAAAATGCCCATTCAGACATTTATACCTTAAAAATTTCTACTTCCTAAATTTCCAAATTTGAGAAACCCAACTATTAAACTTCCAAATTAGAAAAATCTTAAAAATTCTCAAATTCATAATCTAAACATGTACAACCACTAAACTTCCAATAAAACAAAATTATTCAGAAATTTCCTCCAACTTCCAAAACATCAGAAGAATTTCAAATATCCGTAAAATTCATGTAATCGGAAAAAACATTTGCACCAGGTGTACATATGAACGAGCCTTAATCCGTATTAGATTAGAATCCGCGTGTCTTGGCGCGTTCGCGACAGGATTCTCATAGGAGTTTTCGGCGTCGAGTAGGAGAGCTTGCGCCAGTTGTGTTCGCGTCGCGTCGCACAGAGAGACGCGCGCCGCTTCGCCGAAAGCTCAGCTCCGCTTCGGGTCCGCTCGCGGTGGCGCGCGACAGTCCGCTTGCCAGTTTCGTTCACCCGCTCGAGGAAGATTCACCTCACCGGTCAGCATGCACAAACGTTCCTCGAGAACGCGTCGCGTCGCTTGACGATCGATCTCTCCAAAATTTCCGCCTGCGATCGCGAGTGTCATCCGGCGGAAATGTACCATTTCAAACTACCCTCTCTACGCGACATCCCCACGAAAGTGTTATTCTACGAAATGTGATCCCTCTTCCTCTTCGACAAAACTTGGAAAATTTACACGAACCATGAGATCGGTCGCAAACTTCAGAACTCGGTGTTTCTGAGACACGTGTGTGTGAACGATTTAACGTTTGAATAAAGTTTGCGATATTTGACTGAAAAGGAAATAGTGCGTAACTTGATGGTGAAGTGAACTTGGTACCGTATGGTCTGTGAACAGGTTACGTGTAGTAAAGAGGAACTGACTGTCCGAGGTCGTTGTGCTGGTGAAATGTGCAAACTGTTTTGAACTGGTGGCCAATAGACGGGTTAATACGCGGCTCAACCTGAGGCAATTATCTTGGTGAGACCACTGGTGCTAATTAATCATTGCAACTAGCTGTGAAGTCCCGTGGTAGACGTTCATCTTGAAACTTCTTCGACGGTGTAGTGCGGTGAGTAAATGTTTTTATATCGTCGTTAATGAGAACAGATTAGGGGGTCACTGAAACTTTGCTTCTGGGGGCAGTTTGGGTAACTTGTGCTCCTTGGAGGATGGTGATATGGTGATTAGGGTTGCACCTTCTTTCTGTGCAAATTTATTAATATAGGAAATGAGGGGGGTGGCTGTTGGGGAAATTTTTTTATTCTGAGGGTTTTGATATTGGGTTGTAGGGAGCATAATGGGGATAGGTAGATGTAATGAAGAATTTAATGGTATCTCACAGTTTGTGAATTTGAAATTTATTAAATCTTGTAGTTTTGTTAAAATTTAGTATCGTATGAAATATAATGCACTACAATGAAATATTAAAATATGTATTGAATATAATGAATAGTTAGTAATAGTGAATAAACTGATATTAGTGATTAAATGATCCACACAAGTAAACTTTATAAATATTGTAATTCTTCTTTGTAAGAAATTCTGATAGTATAATAAGAAATAAAATGTATGCAGTATTTATTAAAAATAACAAACGTTACAGAAAATTGTACTAATAAGGAAATAAAAAATTATTTTTAACGAAAGATGAAATGTTTATTTTTAATCAAAATTAAAAATTTGGAAATTTATTGTTAAATATCAACCCTTTATTACCGTCTATTGTAATTATTTTACGCGGAATAATAAATGAAATTTCTATATTTTAGCGAGTACAAATGAATAATAAATTTTGTAATATGAGGAAATTATTGAAAATATTTCTGACTTTTTGTAATTATTAACCTTTTGTTGTTGTCGTGAAATGTTGGCAATTTGTAATATTGTATCATTTTCTGTAAAACGAGTAGTTTAATAAAAAATATTTTTCATTACTTTTGCTTGTCATCGATCTTCGATACTTTTGAAGTTTTCCTGTAGCAATAAAAAGTTACTTAATTCATTGAAGTACAAATTAAAAATGAAATCAAAATAAAACTGGGAATTAGAAATTGAATTGATACAAATTAAGACTGTAAATCAGAAATTGAATTAATTCAAATTAATGTTGTAAATTAAAAATTCAATCAATTTACATTAAGAATTAAATAAGTTAAAATTAATACTGTAAATTAAAAATTAAATCAGTTCAAATGAAACTGTAAATTAAATATGAAATGAATTCAAATAAAACTGTAAATTAGGAATAATATAAATTAAAATTAAAGCTGTAAATTAAAAATTAAATTAATTTAAAATAAAACTGTAAATTAAAAATTAAATCAATTTAAAATAAAGCTGTGAATTGAAAATTAAATCAATTCAAATCGAAACTATAAATTGAAAATTAAATCAATTCAAACTGAAACTACAAATCGAAAATTAAATCAATTCAAATTGAAACAGTAAATTCAAATGACGCAAGATTAAATCTGCCCTTCAAAAAGTAAATCAGTTGAAATAGAAACTGTAAATCGAAAACGCTATCAGGTAAGATTAAAACTGTGAATTATAAAGTTGTAAGACGTTTTAATCGAATAAAAATCTCGAAAGTATTTCAAAGCAGTAATGTCGAGTAGAAGCAACGATAAAGAAACTATGACCCATTTAAACGAAACAAGAAAAAGCGTCAAACGATTATCTGATAATATTTTAAAGAAAAGAATAAGACTTCTATTATAATCGTTTGTTTAAACCAGCGCGTTATCAATTTCTCTTAATCATGTGATCTTTTGTAGCCGCTAGATCTCTGCAAACGTACTCGCGATCTACAATCGTGGCGAGTGTTTTAACCATTAATCTCCCCGAAGCAATTCATCATTCCCATTCTTTACAATTCATTTGTGATTCCAAAACATGTCCAAGTAAACTGCACCAGTCACTCCGCATTTATTTATTGACCGCGCTTTATAAATACAAATATCGAAGCATTAAGGAGAGACCATCAGAAAAATTGAGAGCGTACACAGTATGTCGGAAAAATAACAGAACTTTAAAAAAGAAAAGAAGTATTTTGCCAAGATTAATTTTTTTTATTCAAAATACATCCGCATACACCGATGGGCTCACATGATGTTAACATAGATTTTTTTATTTCGAATCACCCTTGTCACAACTGCTTGGATTTGTGTAAATGTCATAAAACGTTCCTTTTACAACAAATTTCAGTTTTGGAAAAAAGAAGTAATCACATGGAAATCAGTCAGAATTTGGAGGATGTTGGAACAGACTTGTTTTTTCGCCAAAAATTCACGAACAGTGACAGTTCACATGGTGCGTTATCATGCAACAGAAACCAACTTCCCAGCACTCGATATTCGGGCCTCACACGAACGATCCTCTTCCACAAATGTTCCATAACACCCAGATAATATTCGCCATTAACATTTTGTCCCTGTGGAACGAATTCCCGAAGTATAAATCCTTTAGAATCGTAAAAGCAAATTAACATTGTCTTCTCTCGGGACTTCTGGAATCGCAATTTTTTTGATTTTGGAGAGCCTAGATTTCCACGTAGCACTTTGGCGCTTTGAGGTTCATACTTAAAACACCAAGTCTCATCACTAGTTACAATTGATTCCAGGAATGTACAGTTTCGTCTGGCTGTTTTGATAAGATCCTCGCAATATTCAACGCGAGCAATTTGTTGCGCTGCCCGTGATTTTGTGACACGGTGACGAAAGATTCTGTCGCATAAACGCTGTAAGTTTACAATTCGTTGCTCGATTCCAATAATGATTGTTGTGTTTTGGGGAGGTATACTATTTTCAGATAACATATTGTTTCACTAGATGCCGCGTTTTCCTTAAATTTAAAAAGTTTCATTACTTTTCTTACTGCGTAAACAGAATCGATATCGAATGATAATTTAACCAATAAAAGTATGAGAGAACACGATAGAAAGATACAATTTATCCAGGAGTAGGATATTAGACCTGTTCGAAATATCTCTAATATTATATGCGACGTTCGTATCTGCCCTCGATTCGGGTCAAATGTAAAAAGCTCTCCTATTGCGATTCGGCGGTTAACTACCACTCTTATGACCTGCATCTGCTGTTCAAATCGAGCGACCAGCCTCGCTGCAGGCCACGTTTACATCCGCATTTACATTTATCCGCTCAGAAGACGAGCATGTGACTTTGTTACAGTTCCCTTTATCGCACGTCAAAACTTACCTTTTTGCACTTTGTCGTGCAACGTTTCGATCGTTTCCACTTTTCTTCACTATGCTTGCAAACTTTTATGCTGCTCATGTTAGCCTAATTTCGGATATATCAGACTTTAGTTATATCGCTACTGCAGCTGCAAATTATTATTTTAAGTATGTCGATGTCGACAATTTTACGTAACGATCTTATGTCCTAATCTTATGATTCTCATGATCTAATTGATCTTTGTAATTGACGGGTTAACACCCAGATAATATTCGCCATTAACATTTTGTCCCTGTGGAACGAATTCCCGAAGTATAAATCCTTTAGAATCGTAAAAGCAAATTAACATTGTCTTCTCTCGGGACTTCTGGAATCGCAATTTTTTTGATTTTGGAGAGCCTAGATTTCCACGTAGCACTTTGGCGCTTTGAGGTTCATACTTAAAACACCAAGTCTCATCACTAGTTACAATTGATTCCAGGAATGTACAGTTTCGTCTGGCTGTTTTGATAAGATCCTCGCAATATTCAACGCGAGCAATTTGTTGCGCTGCCCGTGATTTTGTGACACGGTGACGAAAGATTCTGTCGCATAAACGCTGTAAGTTTACAATTCGTTGCTCGATTCCAATAATGATTGTTGTGTTTTGGGGAGGTATACTATTTTCAGATAACATATTGTTTCACTAGATGCCGCGTTTTCCTTAAATTTAAAAAGTTTCATTACTTTTCTTACTGCGTAAACAGAATCGATATCGAATGATAATTTAACCAATAAAAGTATGAGAGAACACGATAGAAAGATACAATTTATCCAGGAGTAGGATATTAGACCTGTTCGAAATATCTCTAATATTATATGCGACGTTCGTATCTGCCCTCGATTCGGGTCAAATGTAAAAAGCTCTCCTATTGCGATTCGGCGGTTAACTACCACTCTTATGACCTGCATCTGCTGTTCAAATCGAGCGACCAGCCTCGCTGCAGGCCACGTTTACATCCGCATTTACATTTATCCGCTCAGAAGACGAGCATGTGACTTTGTTACAGTTCCCTTTATCGCACGTCAAAACTTACCTTTTTGCACTTTGTCGTGCAACGTTTCGATCGTTTCCACTTTTCTTCACTATGCTTGCAAACTTTTATGCTGCTCATGTTAGCCTAATTTCGGATATATCAGACTTTAGTTATATCGCTACTGCAGCTGCAAATTATTATTTTAAGTATGTCGATGTCGACAATTTTACGTAACGATCTTATGTCCTAATCTTATGATTCTCATGATCTAATTGATCTTTGTAATTGACGGGTTATTGGTTTTGTTATTAAGTTTTTCATGACTGATGTTGCGATACCAGGTGTTCGTGTTAGGATGCTTATCAGATATGGACATATCAGACTTCTGTTATATCGCTATTAGTACATAGTTGAAATTATATCATTATTTCATGTATGTATGTTGTCGACAATTTTTGTAATTGATTACTGTTTTTAATATTAAATCTTTCAAGCTTGAAGTTACGGTACCAGCTGCTCATGTTGTTAGGAGGCTTATCAGATTTCGGATACATCAGACTCTAGGTATATCACTGGTGCACAGCTGCAGTCATATTATTATTTTATCTTTGTCGATGACAGAAATTTTTACAACTAATCTGATGAATTACTATTTTTAACATTTTGCTTTCACGTTTGATGTTGTTATACTAAATACATACTACTGCCTGCAGCTTTGCTAGTCTATCTAGTTTCAGACACATCAGACTCTATGTATATCACAGATGCACAGCTGCAGTCATATTATTATTTTATCTTTGATGATGATAGAAATTTTTATAACTAATCTGAACTACTATTTTTAATATTTTGTTTTC